TTGAGTCAATATACATGTAATGAGGTCGTTAGATATGCAATATTATACGCTCATCAACTGCCCAGTCTCAACAGTTGATGTTGTTATTACATCTTCACAACCACCAACTGCTAGTGTGTCGTATTACTCCTACATCTTCTCCACCATCGACTACAACTATACCTCCATCACATATACGACCACCACCTCTATCACCAACACCACTATAGGAACCAACACTACCACTGACACCTACACCATCACCGAAACTGGCACCTATTTTTGTAGCATGTCCTTTCACATCTTTATAGCTAACACCACCATCTATGGCAAATGTCGCATCGTCACCAGTCATCTCAACAATTTTGACCCTTACTATTGCAGTAACCTATTCTCCTATAGTTGTAGATGTTACCTTTTGCACACCTTCAGCTACATTGGCCTTATTGCATTCTACATCGCCCTAGTAGTGCCAACAATTGTGACACCAGTAGTTACATTGACACCCATGTTGTCTCATGCAACAATGAGATTAAAGTACACATCACAAACAACACCTTCTATTGAGTATCCTTTACTAGATCCTATGTCACATAAGGAGGGGTTGACACAAGATTCTACACTTCTAGGCATAGGTCATGTGAGAATCGGACCAAGATTTCAAGGCAGACAACAAGGTCGGGGCTGGAGTAGGGGTCGTGGACATCATCCACATCATAGCGATGATGTCGATGTATTACAAGTGACATAGGAAGGACCACACGAGACTAAACATGAGCATCGATGACAGCTAAAGCAACGTAGGCAACCAACTCCATGCGGCACTTAGTTTTGTTGTCATGTTTTTGCAGTTGTACTATATAGAATTTCAATTTTTAAACGATTTAATATAATCATTTTTTTAATTTTAATTGTAGTGTTTACTCATGTTGTCACATAGAAAATCAATGTTGTAGACAACACATTTAAATCAACTTCAAAATAATTTATTTTTAAAAAACTAATTAAGACTAACCTTCCAACAATACATGTAATAGAACAACATAATGTAAACACAACAATGACAATATTCTCCAAATGTTACAAAACAATAGTAATTTATCATGTTTCATGGGTTTACTTATTCGTTAGACATTTCAACATCATAAATACATCCAATTTTCCCACTTAACAGGAAACTATGTGCTTCTTCAATTAGTCCTTTTTTAGCACGATCTTGTGCGATGCAACAGAGGTTTTACCAATTGAAACGAATTGTCATATGATTGTTCTCAATTAAAACGAAATAATGTTCGCTCTAATTCTTGAGGAATGTCAACTGGCATATCAATGACAATTTGTCGAGACCTTTGTATATTGCAAGTTCGCATATCTGCACTAAAATTTTTCCTTTCCGTCAACTGATATTGCAATTCGGTCCTCATGGTGCTTATGGCCCTCTTTAAATAACATAAATGAGGGTTCAATGGATAGAAGAACTCATACACTAACGCCCAATGCTGAACCAAAATTTGAAATAACGTTCTCAGACTGTAATTCATGGTTCAAGATTAATTGTGTACAATAAGTTTTTTACACACGTTGAATAAATAGATCCAAAGAATCAATGTAATGATAAACCATTGTCACACTTACATGACTTTTCAATAAAGCACGTGATGAAGTGACCTATCACTGAATTAATAAAATTGCTGATGAAGTGGCAAAACACTGCAATTGCTAATGAACCATGTGCTACAGTGAATACACACAGTTGACAACACTGTGTGTGTATGGACTGCTGCGATTTTTAGCAAACCATGTGTATAAGTGACAAAATCCAAATTTTTCATGGATACCAATATAGACAAACCTAGTCCTTCATTTATTGTCATAGCACAACTTTAATAGTATCAAGTAATTTCAATATTCTGTACAATAATCTTGTTTACTTAAACTGCTCAACTACTGATACAAAAAACACTAGTAAAAAATTTATGGCCTTCTAAATCATTCTACTACGTTAGTGTTTGAATTGACATAACATTGTGGCACGACATGACCACACACTGGTTTTTAGTAACTCCGCTTTTTCAGTAACACAAGAATTGAATTAGCTTTTTATAACCCATGTGTTAAAGTGACAAAACCCTCATAGTGTATGATCAGGGTTTTATATCATTATATAAAAACTTATGTGTGGTTTTTATGACATACATTGAACATTAATTATGACTACATCAAGAGGCTCCACAATCTATGACAATTGCAAATGTGAACGGGTTTGGTTGCTACAAGAGCGAAACAATGATTACAAGAGTGAGAGATTTTTCTATCGAAAAGAGTATTATGTAGTAGTACGATGAGAGTGAGCATTTCATGCTAGTCAGTTAGACGCATTATACACACAACTAAGAGAACTTAACATACCGATGTCACATAGACGTTCACTAATAATGCAACGAAAGAATAGAGAGAACTACGAATTAGTAGTTAAACATGTCTAAAGAGATAATAATAGAATGATGGTGCGTATATGTTGATATTATATGCTTCAACTAGCAACAGACATGGTGAAAACTGCACATAGACGAGCTTTGACACAATTTGGCAAAATATTGTATTATCTAATGAACAATACCTATCAACTGATTATATGTCGGATGAAGATTAACAATTGTGTTCGGTTTCCAAATGTTGGTTTCAATCTCATATCTTTATATGTGATTATCATTGTTAAGTAATTTCATAGTTTTATCAATGTAATCAATGTATTGTCAAATCACCACTTTGTCGGTATCAAGTCATGCAATAGATTAATCAGTGTATTGTTATAACATTGTTTTATCAGTGTCAAGTGATGTCATTACTTCATCAATGCCTAGTCATGTCACAACTTTACAGTGTGATGTCATGTCAAATTTTTATAAAATTCAAATAGGCACTCCAACCAAATCACAAAGATTCTTCATCACGCAGTGGACAACATAGTTTATCTTCAGCCAATGAACGTCAACACTCGACTAGCCAAATAGCATCGTGGAACATATTTACTTCTATTGGATCCTATACAAATTTTGATGGTGCAATGTGGTATAGACAAAAGCGTGAGTTTCGCAATGAGCTCATCGACACTTATCACCCATTCAGGAATGTTGAACATGTAATTGTTAAGTCAGCGATATACTATCTCCCTCCAAGTGCTCATCACGAAAATGGCGAGAGTTATATAAAAAACGTTAGAAGCTTGAAGTATATTCTCGTTGGTATGGACTAGCACTACCTAAGACACGTTCGACTGATATATATCATCTGCATAACTCAAATAACTATGATGAGATAATGGCAAGGCTTGAACGTGAAAATGATCATAAGCAGCATCAATTTGATCGCTTGCATGCAATCGGGTATACAAAAATTAAACATTTCAATCCTGTTTATGTCGAGATTGAAATTTTAGAGGATCTGTTACTTGTTTTTGATCCTGAACTTTTTAATTTTTCGAATTTAAATGATGATGCGTCAGACACTTTTATTCCATTAAGTTTATGTATATATGGTCAACCTCTATGTTGTTATGAACATCAATCACATTATTGAAAAATTGTTCTTTATACAATTTTAAAATAACAATTTCAGAAGGCATCATCATTTTCACCTTAAAAAAAAATTAAAAACATTATTTGAAATAACAATTTCAAAAGGCATGTCGACTTTACTAACCTAACACCAGTAGATTATCGTTTAAATTAACTCTTTAAATACATCATTTTAAATGACGTAAATGAAGTCTTTAAATTCATCATTCCAAATAACGTTTTATGGGCAAATATATCTCATACTTGTAGAAAATTCTCAAGGTTCAAAACATCATTTGAAATGGTGTTTTTGACTATGAAGACATCAGTTTAAATGACATTTTTAAGAAGAAACTAAATTTAACAAATAAGTTTAAAAATGACTTATTTAAAAAAATAAGATCCAGACAAGTATGGATATAAGAAAAAAAAACTCACACAAACAGTGTAATAATTACTGCACTGCTGTTTTTGACATAGACTTAAAATTAATATAATTTATTGTTATAATGATACATCATTTACTAAAATTGAACTCAACATTTAATCGGTTGTCATATCATTTTAATTTTAAATTTAATTTTAAAATTTGATCAATATAGTATTACTCTTATACAAAAATGGTGTAACATCCGGGTCTGTCGCGGCACCAAGTTTTTGGCAACTTAAAAGTACATTTGTTGGTCAAGTATGCATGGTTAGGGGTGCCCAATTGATAACTCAAAACATTCTGTGAACTTCTTGTGCAAAGACAATGGCCAAAGAAGGAGAGAGGGAGATTAGTCAATGCATTTTCTTCCGGAGCAATGCCTTGGCAAAATCATGTCCAGACATGAAAACAGCAAACCATCTCACTCACCGTCTCTTTCATTCAATCAATGACAGTCAACACCCCATATATAATCTGATGATACTGAAACCTGAAACCAAAGTGATCTTCATTCAATGAGATTTTAACTACTCCCCCCCCCCCCCCTCCCCTCGCTCTCTCTCTCTCTCTCTCACACACACACACACTCACACACTTATTTTTTACCTGTGCACTGAGACAATCGTTTACTAATACAAAAAAGACACAGAATCCTTTCCCTTTCACACAGCTACAATAACCAAGCAACAGCAGTGGAAAAGAAAGAAGAGTGGCCCAAAGGTCCTTTCCTTTCCTCTCTGAAGCTCAGTACTCTCATTTTTCGTTTTCCTCTTATCGACTTGTTCCTTTCACTGCTCTGCGGCCTCTGCCTTCTCATAGTGAACACTTCTCTTTCTTTAATTGAGGCCAGGCCCACCCACCTCTTCATTTTATGTTCATCCTCCTATTTCTTAAAATCAGCACAACCAATGAACAATTTATCTTGATCCAAAGCTCTCTCTCTCTCTCTCTCTCTCTCTCTCACTCTCTCTCTCTCTCTCTCTCTCTCCCTCTTAACTGGTTTGCTTATGGTTGGGGAAGGTTAAAGTGGCAGTGCCACAGTAAGGTTTCCAACTTTGCCTTTGGACCATTTGCAGCTGTTCATGGGGAGATGAAATGCTTCCATGACCATGAATTCACTCAACTCATTTATTTTCTCTACTGCTACCATAGTTATTACACTTCTTCATCTTCTCTCTCCTCCTGCCTCTTGCTACACGCAAAAACAGCCTTCAGATACTTCACAGGTCAGGACCCTCTCCCTCTCCCTCTCGAGTATGACTTATTTCTATAGTTTCTCTCTCTCTCTCACACACACACACATGTACTATGGATGAATTTTCTTTGAAATTTGAATTGGGTGCAATTGGATGTGTTGTGTAGGGTTTGCTAGTTGAAGAGAAAACCAGGTTGGGTTCAACGCCACCAAGTTGTCACAGCAAGTGCAATCAGTGCCACCCATGCATGGCGGTGCAAGTGCCAACCCTACCGAGTCACAACCCAGTGCAACCGGGTCCTAGACTCACCATACCCAATGACTACTATGACCCATCACCTTCTTCAAGCAACAAGTACTCCAATTACAAGCCACTGGGCTGGAAATGCAGGTGTGGTGATCACTTCTACAACCCTTAGCAGAAAAACCCTTGATGAAGATTAATCTCAGGTTAATTTTATATATGTTGATGAACTTCAATTTTCGGCTTTCATTTTTAAGCTTTATTCTTATTATATAAATTTTTTATTTAATTTTTGTAGTGGAATATCCAAAATTTGAGATTTATAGGGTTCCTGAGGACTCTCATAGAGACAAGACATATTTAATGGAGGGTAGTAGTAGCATTTATGGTGTATAAATAATTGGAATTCATACAGAGATGTACAGAGAGAAGATGTTGCAGACTTTTTCAGTGTGATTTAAATGCTTAGAAAAAAAATCCCAGTGCCAGCCAGCCAGCCAGCCAGGCATAAGATTCTGATTTTTTTTCTTTGATTCTCTCTCTTCGTCCTTTCTTATCCTCTCGGGAATTTCATGGCCCATGCACACATATAAATATGCTGTCGATCTTTAATTACTGTAGCAAACCATGTTGAAATGACCAAAAAGGCCTGTACTCTCTTGATGTTCTACACTGCTGGGTGACACAGTGGAGGGTTGTTTTGGTCTTGTCATGTGTTCTGTTGGTGGTAGTTGACACAAGCAAGCAAAGAAATATTTATCGGAGAATCACGAAGGGCAGAGGAGGACACGCATAGCAGCGAAGCAGCCCTGCGTGGGATCTTTTCAGTAGACCGTGTACTACTGAGCCCTATTCCTTGTGAGCATTGGGTAATTTTGTTCCCCTTTGAGTTGGAGCCATATGCCTCATGCCCCCTCCCCCAAGGACTGAATAGTTATATTGTTGTGCAGTGTTAAGCCTCATGACTCATGAGGTTATGCTAATGGTATTGAAATATGTGGGTGAAAATGTTTCCCATCCCCAATACTTCGTTACTAATCGGAAAAATTACATTTTGAGCTCATCAATTAAAGCCCTTCTCACGTTATTCTCTAAGCTGTTGAGTTTCTTACACTGGATTTTCTTCTATTTGATTACTTTCACATTTTCCCAAAAACTTAGGATGAAAAATGCTTCCGTGGCATTAGATTTTAAGATAAAGTGAAATAAAATCATAAAATTCGAATATAAAGAGACACAAGTTCATGTCCAACTTGTAACAAATGTAATAGTTGATATGATGTTACACAAATAATTATGATTGAAGATGCAATATTAAAAACATGATAGTTGAGGGTAGTGAGTAGATGGACAATAATTGAGGGGTCAAAGTATAATTTGTCGTTCATAAAATGTAATTTGCCCTTAATGATATAAGCATTCTTTCCTAAATCAATAATTAGTGATATGCTAAATCTTCATATACAATCTTGCAAAAGAAACTTATTTCATCAATTGGGTGAATGATGACGTGTATTCTAAATTTACATTATTATTTTTTGTTCTAGGAGAAGACTACATTACATTCATTGAGTTTTTCAGTACCATACCAAAAAATTAATATAGGCCTTTATTAGATCTATCAATCAATAAGGACTATTAATCAAATTGTCCTTTTATTTTTATATTTTTCAATGTGGCAACCCTTTACCTCCTAAACAAGTATTGATTAAAAAATTATATGTTTTGTAATATAATATTACAATCAAATAGTACAACATAATTAATTTTGTCACATAGTACAAGTCATATTAGTATTTTGTCATATAGTACAATTCAAAATTTATACCACAATATTGGTTACAATTTCTACGGTTAACAGTACTACAATTAAGGAAGTTACCAGCACTTTAGGTAAATTTATTACATTTAAAGATCACATTACAAAGTTTATGAGTTAATTTATGATAGAAATGTGTTAAAATTACAACAATTACTGTGGACAAATTTATAACTCAAGGGTACATTTACTATAGTTTAGAATTAAGTTAAAACCATAGTAGACAAAGTTACAAAAGTGTAAGTTAAACTTACAACTGTATTGATTAAATTTACCATATATGTGGATAATATTACAAACTTAACTTAAAGGTAAATGTACATCATGTCATCAACTGTGGTATCATTAAACTAAATGGTGACAAATTCGTTCTAAACACTAATAACATCACTCAAAATCATTATAATACTACCATAAAAGTTGTAATATTATCCCTAATACAGTGGTAACATTACTCCAAACGATAGTAAAATTAGCTGAATAGTGGTAAATTCACCTTAAATAATGGTATTCACCTAAATCGATGTAATAGCATCACAAACGATGATATTTTCGATCCAATTAAAATTCAATTCAACAAATTAACATTCAATTTCATCAAATCAACCATCATATTCATTAAATTAATATTTAATTAATCAAATTAACACTAAATTAACTTCGAATTCATCAAACTAACATTAAAATTCATTCAATTAATATTCAAGTTCATCGAATTAACATTCAATTCATCCAATCACTATTCAAATTCATTCAATTAACATTAAATTTCTCAAATTAACATACAAAATCATCCAATAAACATTTCATTCATTCCATCGATTAACATTCAATTATCACACTAACAATAAATTAACAATCAATTCATCAAATTAACACAAACTTATCATTCAATTCATCAAATTAGAATTAAATTCAAGTGGTAAATTTTAAATTTACTAAATTAACATTTAGTTTCATCCAATTAATATTCAATTCGTCAAATTAACTTCAATTCATCCAATTTATATTCAAACTCCTCTAATTAACAATTAATTCATCAAATTTACATTAGAACCCACCTAATAAATATTCAATCACTAATGTTATTAAGACATATTTAACCTACAATCATTAATAGTCAATTTTATTTAATTAACATTTAATTTATTAAATTAACATTCAAATCCAACTAACTAACATCAAATTAACATCCAAAATTGCTCAATTAATATTCAATTCATCAAATTAACATTTAATTGATCCAAATTATATTCAAATTTGTCCCAGTAACACTCAATTCATGAAATTAAATTTCAAAATTATCTAATAAATATTCAATTCGTCAAATTAACATCAAATTAACATTCAATCCATTGATTGACATCAAATTAATACACAAATTAATTCAATTAACATTCAATGTATCAACTTAACAATAAATTATCACTCAACTTCATCAAATTAACATTCAATCTCATTTAGTTAATATTCAATTCATCAAATTTGACTAGTTCTCATTAACGTCATCAAGTAGCACCAAATTAATCCGATTAATATTCAATTCATCAAATTAATAGTAATTTAACATTTCATGAATACAATTTATATTCAATTCATACAATTAATATTCAATGTAATCCAATTAGCAATCAATGTGTCAAAATAAAGATTCAATTTTATATAATTAACATTTAATTCATCAAATTAACATCCAATATCATCCAATAAACACTAAATTCATTAAATTAAAAATAAATTAACATTTAGTTCATCAAATTAATAAAAAATTAATATCTAATTCATCAGCTTAACAATAAATTAATATTAAAATACCAAAATTATCCCTACATAAACTCAAAACAATCTTTCTACATAAAATTCGGTTAAAATTCGAACCAATTAAAAATTATTTTTTACATATTAAAATTTGAGCCGATTAAAATTCTATTCGAATTGATTAAATTTTATTTTTTATGTATTAAAATTCAACCTATTAAATTTTTTTATGAATTAAAATTTGAGTTGATTTGAGTTCAACTTGAGTTACTAGCGCCAAGCACTGATTAAAATTCGATTCAAGTTGATTGAAATTTGTATTTTTAACTTATAAAAATTCGTTTCAATTAAAATTTGATTCAAATTGATTAAAATTTAGTTTTTACGTATTAAAATTTTAGCTAATTAAATTTTATATTTTTTTAACATATTAAAATTTAAGCCGATTAAAATTCAATGCGATTTAATTAAAATTTGATGAGAGACGGTTCAAAATAAATTTTAATATGCTTGAATTGAATTTTAATCGACTTAAATTTTAATAAGTAAAACAAATATAATTTTTAATTGATTCAAATTTAAATATGTAAAAAATAAATTTTAATTAGTCCAAATCAAATTTTAATCAGAATAAATTTTAATAAGTAAAAAAATATAAATTCAATCGACTTGAATCAAATTTTAATTGGCGCTAGAACCTAGCAGCTCATGTTGAGCATAAATCAACTCGAATTTTAATATGTAAAAAAAAAATTATCTCCAATTATAATGCGTAAAAAATAAAATTTAATCAGCTCGAATCAAATTTTACTCGAAAATAAATTTGGTGTTAATTTGATAAAATTTCATCAATTAATATGGTGTTGATGTAATAGATTTTATCTTAATTGGATGAAATTGACTGATAAATTTGTGTTAATTTTATAAAATTGGTTCTCTGTATGGTGTTAATCTTATGAAACTATAAAAAAAATAAATTAAAGGTGAATTTATTTTTAATTTGATAAAATTTAATTGTAATTTGATGAAATTGAATGTTAATTTTAATATAGTGTTTATTTGGATGAAATTAAATTTTAAATTTAGGAATTTCAATGTTAATTTGAATTTTGTGTTAAGTTTACGAAATTTCAATTTCAATTTTTGTGTTAATTTAACAAAATTGAATTTTAATAAATAAAATTGAAGGTGAGTATTGTGTTAATTTGATAAAATAAAATATTAATTAAATGAATTCGAATGCTACAACCTTTTTGGTGTTGTTAGCACTATTTAGAATATGAAGAATTTATTATTATTTATCTTCAAAATGGTTGCAATCTATCCCAAGAGCTTGAGATCGATTGTAAGGTTATAGTAGTCTCTCCTAAAAGTGGTTTCCTCACCCAAATTTGATAATGTACAACCAATATTTTTGAAAAACGGTAAGTTTAGGATCAATCATAACCATCTAAATCCGATCGCAAGATCATTGAAGTGAGCTTTAACAAAATTGTGGACAATTTACCACAATTAAGAGCAGATTTACCACATTTGAGGGTCAGTTTACAACAATTGTGGATAAATTTACAAATTTAGACGTTAATTTACGAATCTTCTAATTAGTATTACAATTTTATGACTAATTTTGTTAATATTACAATAATTAAGGGTAACATTGCGAGTATTAAGGGTAA